ATTTTTGTTCCAGGATTTCTGTCGGTATAACGAGATGTCGTTATATAGCGATGTCGTTATATCGAGACGCACTTGTAAATAGTTTATTGTAATACAGGAAATGTTATGACAAATAAAAGCTAACTACGTCTCTTTGTTGAAATAACAATTATAAACTTTTATTTATTGACATAGAGTAATTATACGCAAATCGCAGTATGTGTTGTCTCTTGCAAATATGTGTTTCTGATTATCGAACATTATCTCTGCATCGCCCCAAATTCACATCCCCAAATTCTGTATTGGCTTTACACGTGCTGACAATCCCGACTATTACTATATTAATATAGAGATAGTTCTGTAGATACACACATGCGGTTAGATTAGATTAGATTACAAACTTAACAAAGCAGACTTGGTTCGCAGTAACCCAACATAGGTCCCACTCCTATCCCGTGGGAGTTTAGGAAGAAGCTTCGTCATATGATATGCTTCAAACATCGACGTTTTATATACCATCGCTATCTCTGACTTTGAGTATAATCAGGCATCCGATAGAGTATGACGGTTGCAGCAAATTATAATAATGCACGAGAGATTGAATTGACCGTTTGCTTGTAGAAACGATACAGCGTTCGGCTAGATACAATTAGAATATATTAATATTGAAATAATTAAAGCTTAAAACTTTCGATTTTAATAGTACGGTTATTAAGTATCTAGTTCATATTGTAACAATTTAGAATTTACAAAGGTCGTAGCTGAAACCAGATCTCAGTCCAGATACCAAACTGAGGTACAACATATGTTGGCAAATATTCGGTGTGCATCAAAGGCAATTGTTAGCGAGCAGCAAACTGCCTTCTCATTTTTGTAAGCGAATAAGAGATTTTTTTTGATAACTCTATGTCTAATTGAAGGATAAACAATTTGAGTTTTTCCAACCTATAAAATATTATGATCAGCTATGTAAGAACTCGGAACTATTTTGATCATATATTATATATTCAATCGTTGGATAGAGCCGATCAATGCGAAAAGTGAACGAACACAGTAATCTATTGCTTATATATTTGTACTTTCCATTTTGGGCTTCAAGGTCGAGAAGAAAGCGTAAGTTGAACTATGTGTTTAAATGCGCAACGATTAAGAATTAAGTGCATGTCTAAATATGAGAAGGTTGGATGGCTTTCTCATTTGTTGTAGACCTTGAAAGTCAAATATTGTGCCAAATACGCAAATCGGGCATAGACAACAATAACAATACAATTGATATGTATCCTTCCCGACAAATTTAGATGTTTGTTAAGCCTAATATTCATTACTACTTGTAGTTAGTGTATTCTTGTTTCTATCGTTCAAATTGTACGATCCGGCCGGGAACTGAAAAAATCGATAAGAGACGGACCCGCCATTATAGAAGTAGTACCAATTCACAGATATAACTCGAATTGTACATCTTTTTCAAGATATCAGTCAAAAATCAGAAAACACTCGGGTGTCGATACGAGAACAATAGCTCAGTTTACTGTTTCTGGAAATGTCACATAATCATGATCTGCGAACGATCTTTATCCCAACCTAATACTAACCGCATCTTAAAATCGTTCTCGGTATGATGACATAAGTCTCGAGATCACCCTATTTTTACAGTTGTAATTCAAGGGAACTCGAAGGCGCAGTAACAAAACTCGATTGTCTACCATGTTCCTTTTATGGAACGGAACGTTATCCATTTATTGATCACACGACCGCAGATTGTCCAATAATAGGATGAACTGTGGTGCACAGCCGGAAGGGGTCTCCCTGTATTCGACAAACTCCGTCCGTGCCACATTACATTTTGGTTTCCAACTTTGGATGCCGATGTTCCTTAAAAAATAAATAAAAATGACCTTCCCCGCTTGTTGTTTACGTTTTCTTGATCGATTATGTTCAGAGCCATTTGATTCGCCTGAATAATGGATACCAATGGCAGTGAAACTGATAAATTGTCTAAACGAGCGACAATTGACACGATTGAGACAACAATTTCAAACTTATCGATTCAGCCAGAATGGTATCAACCAAGCGAAACGAGGATTGACATATCTCTGTCATCTGAACCTACATCAGAGACAATAGATGCGTGCACATTCTCACCTGATGGGAATCATCTGGCGACATATTCAGGAGCTGAGGGAAAGATTACTATATGGAGCGTAGATGAATTGCGGCAAGGACATCAGCTACAACCTACTTGGGTTAGCACTAAAAACACTATTCTGAATCCAAGACAATATTTGAAAAAGACGAAAAGTTTTGCTCCATTGTTTACTTATGAACAGAATATGAGCGATGTCGATTTTGCCTTATCTAACGGAGGTAACTGACGATAATTGTTTACGAATAAAGGGATATAGATATGACGTCAATGATTCAATGTAATGTTAATTGAGAAATTATAATTCTGTTCTACGTACAGGTCAATTTGTAGCTCTCAGCACTATTAAACTTCCTCAGCAACCCGAAGATCCGACTCCCTTTGAACTGGTCAATCCTCCTCCCACCAAAACCAACAGGTTTTTCACATATGTTGTTAAGACTACGCGTGATCGGCCTGTATTCAGGCATTCTTTAATGGGTCTAAAAGGAGCGATTAAATTCAGTTTTGATAGTAAACAATTCATCTTGGGTGATGTGGAATATGATTTATTTATGGGTGAAGAAGATGGAAACTATCTTTACATATTCTCAACAGTTGATTGGATAATAAAACACAAGGTGGTTATCGATGCCTTTGCAAGTACATTGCAAGTTGCACCTCATCCATGGACACAAATAAAATCAGTAAAGAACTCGTTACTTGAAGAGTATTTTGTATACGTGGAACAAGTAAGTATGGGAAATCATTCCGTGGAAAATTAGGTGATAGTAAAGGCTATGTCATTTAAAACTATAAACTTTGATACGACTCAACCAAACTCTTTCTCATAGTGGGATACTGCATCTCTCTGGTCGATATCCACAGGTCAACTGATAACTCGTTTTCGATGCTTACCAGATGACACATTCTTAGGGGCAGATGCACAACCAACCATATTTTCTCTTTCTAACAACGGAGAAATGCTCGCCACGTGGACATCGCGAGGAATATTAACTATATTCCTACGTGAGGGAGGTCTCGTATTCTCATCTTCGTTAACAAGTGATACAAAAAACTCCAGACATACCAACTCAGTAAAGAGAAGTGTGACATGGCTTGAGGGAAACGAGCATATAATGACTGTTAATGCAGTGAATACTGAGCACAAGATACAAATATGGAATGTCTACACTTGCGACATTGTTAATCAATATGACAACTTGGGGGATATGACAGTATTTCAGCCAGGGGGGTCAGGATTATATGTTAGTTATGATGGAAAGATTCCAACTGTTAGCAGAATTACTTTACCGATGATGGAAGTAGAAAAAGGGCGCGAGACGGATACTATGAAGAAAACAGAAAAAGATATTGGAAGGCATCATTTCTTAGAACAGGGATTTACAAAAGTTATTGCATGTAATGGCGACCGATTATACGAATCAGGTCCAGGATATGAGAGGGATCCTGTACTACGAAATGACCACGCCATTGTTGAGTTGAGAATAGAACCATGGAATATATATAATCCTGTTAAATCAGCATTTATACTTGATGATAAGGGTGAGCGAGTATTATTTATTGGCAAGCAGACAATACAGTTATGGACATTTGGATCAGGTGCTAAACCCCGTCTGCAGTATATATGGTGCAAACCATTGAAAGATATTGAGCGCAAAGTGCCTGTCACCGTGTATGCCACAATCAAAGGAGCAATTTTGAAGAGAGTGCAAGGCGATAGATTTGTTCTCCAAGTAACTTACACAATTTCTAGTAAAGATAAACGTAGCTTTTCCAAGTTTGGTATTCAACCTACAAACGAATTTTCGCTCAGAGAACGCATACAAAAAGTCAAAAAGCGGCCACGCAATTTAGAAGCCATCTCTGATAACGAGTCAAAAGAAGAAGAATTATTATTGCCGAGCGAGGATGAATTTGCCACGTTCAATACAATTACGCACGCATCCTATGTTCTGGGATTCTTGGATTACATCGAGCGTAAATATTGGATTCAAATCGGTTCGGGCAATAGTCGCCACCATTTTGAAGAACTTCTTCAACAGTGTAGCAACATTGTTTACGATGCCATTCAATCACATACTCATTTATTTAACCAGATAGTAAAAGGTCAATCACCTTTAGAAGTATTAATCAGATCTGACTGCAAACACACGGATAAGATGATCAAAGCTTTGTTAAAGACGAACAAACATATTCCTCGATTCCATGATAAAGGTCGTACCAAATCTGCTCTCTCCCGTGCCATATCTCTGGGTAAAACTGAAGTAGTGCATTCTCTGTTGAACTACTATTGCAGACGAGCATCGGAAAATCCAGTGTCATGGACAATTACTGTCGTCCCGGCATATAACAAATTAAGGTTAATGTATCCAGACTTTGCATTGGAAGTGATGGAAAAGCTCAGTTATTTGCCATCGACTAAGAATATTGAAAGAAGCGATAGAGAAGAGAATTTTGCGTTCTCAAAGGTTGAGGAACTAGCGCGCGAAGCCGATGACACTGCATGGCAGAAATTTAAAACATTTTATTATAAGAGCGAAAGACGGATCGATCGCAAGGTAAATTATGAAACAAGAAATATATTGGGCATACATTATGCCTGTTTTGACAAGTCATTATTATCATTATTAATTATTTGGTTCAGTGACTGTGCTTGAATGAGTAACAAAGTTGTATTCTATTTTCAAACGAAAGATTGAAAAGGCCAATGATATCATTCGTATTCCACATAAAACCCATCCGGCCCGTGAATGCGTTGTCCCCTTACCAGGCTTTACTGTATATCGGACTCCACCCAAGAAAACTGCCAAAGAACTATCCAGATCTAGGTTCCCACTCTTACTCAAGTTTACTGATCTGTTTAGATGGCGTAAATTTCGCTCTCCGTTTGTTGAAACGGCTCTATCTGGCCGATACGATATATTTGGTGAACCTGCCATGGAGGCGGTCATCAACTTTAAATGGAGGAAGTTTGCTAGGATGCGAATTTTCTTCTTTATCCTTTTGTATGTTTTGTATGTTGCCGCATACTCGACTGCTATCACTCTGAATTCTCCCGAGAACCCGGAATCCATCCCTGCGAATAAAATCAGAGTTCTTCTGCATTTTGTACTGTTTCTTGGTTCTGCAAACCTTTTCTTAGAGTTGACGAAGATATATGGACAATGGGAACATTATTGGTATAACACATATAATTACATTAACTTGGCTTCCACCATATTGCCACTCTTGTATAGCGTGAAGCTGTTGGGTGATCTGCATATTTATAAACCGCCGTATGTTGGGGCATCATTGTTCTTTGTTTACGTTAACCTTGTAAGTATTGTTTACAGTGATAGTTACATGAATTGTCTCAACTTGCCTAACATAACGATCGTTTTCTTTGTTAGATTTTACAATTCCGAGTGTTCAAGTCATTTGGAATATCGGTGTTCATAATATTCCAAATATTTCGTAAAGTAATCTGGTTTATTGTTATTATTGGGATAATGGTGCTAGCATATGCACACATGTTCTTTTTATTATTTCAATATCCGGAAGTTTTAGAGGCACTAGTCGCTAATTCGACGGCACCAGAAACTTTTGACACTTATCCCATGTCACTTGTTACGGTATATTATTTTGTGGTAAGTAATGGATGCTTTTGTTTCTCGGTTTTCAGTTTGGGTGACTACAATAGATTAATCCTGATTATTGTGATGACTTTCAATAGACCGGCAGCTTTGACTCGGTTAATGATGCATTCAGTGACCCCACGATTGCAATTCTAACAATAGTATTCTCGTTCACAACCGCAATCGTATTGTTGAATATTTTGATTGCGCTGATGAGCGACGTCATTGAAGTTACCAAGACGGATGGCAAACGTGCTTGGCTTCAACAAAAAGCAGAGCTTATAGCTACGGTGGAAATGTACATGCTTTCACCAAGCCAAAGAAGGCGAAAAGACTTTTTCCCGAGTCTTATTTATTACCGTGCAAACCCCGATCTTGTGAAAGCATATAAAAAACGACGGCAAGACTTAAAGACGATCCACGATGAAATCTATCATGCTGATAAGGGTGACGATGAATTTGTTGGCTTTGACGCTTTTCATGCTCATTCCGACGACTATGACGAAAGTATTAGTGAGGTAAATATTGGATGATCATCATTTGCTTTATGCCAAAACTTCAATCTATTAATGCCGTTTTCTGACTTACAGGTTAACCATTCAACAAAACCTTCAATATGGTCTTCAAAGAAGAGTGTGCCTAGTGATGCAGGATCAATATTCTCATAATTGTTGGTCGCAAAATTACAAATACTATTTAGGTTTTGACACTCGAATCAATTTGCCGTTCGAACATTTAAAGGAACAGTTATAACATCGTTGAGTACATATTATATATTGAGAGAGTAAAAAATACTCACTATGAAATGAAGAAACCCTCCATCACTCTCGCTGTCTCTCATTAATATTATGTGGGAACAACAGGGGCTGACATATTCCAGTAGTGTAAAAAAAACCAAAACTATATAATAATTTTCTGTAATATTTAAGAAATTTCACCAACCCAACTAATAAAATGATATAGAACGAATGTGTCAATAAATTCTTGCTTCAAATACTGTATAAAATTAGATTAAGATAATGATCTGCTCATTTTATAAGATAACAAGATCATTCATCCGTCCTTCGAATCCTGTCATAGCATATGCCTTTTGTTCAATCAGTTGTAATTAAATGAGCCCAAATTTTGTATTAAAATTTGTGATTCTCAAGTTGGCACCGTAGGGATTACGAAGATTTTTATTTGCTTTAGAGCAATAAATGTCATTCATTTATAATTTCAAAATAGTATCCGAGTCAGAACATTAATCATAAAATTAAAATCACGCTGTCAATGCCGGATGGATTGAATCGATCAACTATAAATTTCTCCTAATATACGGAGCAATTTTGTACGCGTTTGTGTTTCATTCGCCAGCGAAAAGCGCTGTCTCAAAATTTCGGGGAAACACATCGTTTTTGGATTTTGCATATAAAGAATTCGGTACTATTACTATAGGCTTTGTTGATAATTAATCTTACTGTACAAACAAAAGCAATTTGGATCAGACTAAAAATGTTAATGGCTGTGATAACAATTGAAAGAACCGAAATCTTTACGTAACCGAAACAATTGCGGTTATAATAAATTTTGGCTATAACAAACATCTGTCTTCATTCTCATGCACATTGTTTGTCAAGAAATACCTCGCATTCTCATTAAAAAGAATGATTGTCCTGTCATTATGCCATCGTTTAATGGCTATGTTGCGGGTAAACGTTTGCTATATTCAGCACATCAGTAATCAATCGTTGACATTTACTGTCTCTACGTAGACAAGGAAACTCTATTCAAGGAGTAAAAGCCCATGCCATGAGTGTGGATTGAAGATTGGCTGCGCTTGCCTGTGTTCTTAAATTAAATTGCTGAGCTCTTATCTATCAACTCTCCGTCGCATCTACTCAATTTTCTCTCTAAACATTGACAGTGTATCCGCGTAACATGATCGCAAAGCAAGAGTGTGAACAAGCAATAACGCAAGGGAAAGTAACAGGCGTGAAGATAAAGCGATGATAACTCGTTTTAATTGTGAGCAGGAACAGATAATTTTATAGTCGGTAATGGAAATAAGACGCTATTCATTGTCTTCGATTAGTTCAACCCCAATTCCTTATCCAAAATGCGTGCAAACGCTAGCTCGTCATGCCGTGGAAAAGGCTTTAACGTTTCATAGCCTCTTGATTTTAGAGTTTCAAGTAAATTACTGACGAAATAAGCGACAAGCAATTAATTAGGTTTTATGGTATGTCCATTGTAGCATACTTTTTCCATAAACCTTTGCATACCTGACTGATGTGCAAATGAGGTATTTCTGTTGATGTAGCTCGATAGCAAGTTCAGATTGATGATTGTCCATGAGTAAATCATTGATTACAACTATTAAGGGTTTCTCTAATCTAAGAGACTCTAAGATGGATCCGGCGCCTAAAACAAGGATTCTTAATAGATAGTCTTGTATATCACGAATAGCATTCTCTCTTCCACATTAGACTTTTTGCTTTTACCAGCATGGCTGATGATAAGATCCGCTCTTTCATAGTCTTCTTGCAATGATGGCTTATAGTCGTATGATTCTAATCTTATGTCGCTTGTTTCTGCAAGTTGTAAACCCATAGTACCAGTACCATGCTGTACTGTGATATTATGATAATGTAAAGATGATGCCAACTGAAGAAACGGTTGAGATGTGATAAGAGCGGTAAGAGAATGAAAGCTGGTAGAACCGACAGTGACGAAGATACTTTTACCAGACATTTGCAGATTTGGCTTCACATGAGAATCCAAAGCAATCGATCTACCTAAATATTGTTCGATAGGCAGTTAGTTACACTTTGTTACTGATAAGATGAAGGAATAAAATTCGCAAGATAGTATCGTTCGACGAATAGAATAATTGACAATTAACTCGCTCCCGGCGAGAAAGTGGAACTTTCTTCTTTATCCGATTACGTGGTCTCACGGTATCAACAAAACTGAAGAGAAACCATAATGAGGGTTTTGTTATCAATGATCGTAGTAGTTTATCAATTCAGTCTTGATAGTGTCAACTCATCAGCTGTCAGTAAGAGCTCTTGGAAAGATTTCTTTATAATTATCTCATAGAATAAGATTTGTAGTAGAAACAATAATAAAGATAGCACAATTACTGAAAATTTCTGTATAATTACTGTTTATGGTACCTCCCCTATGTTGGGGGAAGCAAATTATCTCTCCTACAGTGATTGCTAATTTTAGCAACTTCGATTGCAGCTGACGAGAGACTCGCATTTTTCATATACGGGTTTACGAATAGAAGTTGCATAGTATGTTAATTTGTTATTACCTCGATTATCACGTGTCCGCACTTTTTTCACTTTGTCGCGCGTGTTCATCATTTATTCGAAATAAACCATTTGTTTTACTCTTTATAGCGTGCTTACGTGTATTTCGAACTGGACTACAAGGACCAGCATTTCATAATCGAGTATTTATCCGCCGCTTTCACCGCTCGATTATTCATGTCCTAAAACTGTGTTCTACTGCAAGGAGAGTTAGATCCACAATTTCCTAAAGTTAAGTCATATCTTAGCCTAAAAGTGGTATAACTCTTCACGCGACAAGTCATAATAATATTACAAGTCCAATTTATCAATACGCTCTTTTTCATTAATCTATAAGAGAAGAAATATTAATACGTACATATCATCTGCAGTTGCAGTATCTAATTATATATCGTAATCAATAACTACATATTCTTTTGCTGTCATTTCCGTTTTCCCCTTTCTCTTTTAATTGTTGGAGCAAATTATCTAAACCATCACCATTTGACATAATCAAATTATTAAGCATTTGGCTTTCTGTAAGTATTGACAGAAGTCCTGGTTTTCCCAACAATTATGAATTATACTCCCAAGCTTCGCCAATTAGGTTAATAGCTTCCTTTATATTTACAGGTGTAACTGTCCCTAATACTAATACTAATGCATTTTAACACTGTAAATAATACCAGCATCATGTGATGCTACGTTATAAACAGTGACGTATTCTCTCCTAAATTTCTGCATTTCTCCGACGGCGCAGTAACACCAGCGCAGTGCAAGTCATACGGGAATTTAGTACAGCACCACTGCTGTATCACTGCTGTACCACTGCAGTCAGGACTTTTACCAATATGGATGGTGTCGATCATTCCTTATATGTTATAGACACATGATTCAGAATATTCTGGACACTTCTAAAAGTTTTCCATACAAAGGCTATTTTTATTGGATATGTGAACAGCTATTTTATTGACTATGACATAATTTTTTATTCTGGGCTTTCAACACAATCATGGTTCTCAAATTCATTTTCTGAATTGAATAAAGATCTCACCTCGTCTAATATCTTTAATAACTCATCACGCCTTTTATATGGGGCATGCTGCAACAAAACCAGACAAAGTGAACATTTTATTATGTGAGGCTAATTATGATGTGGCTGTAAAATTGACCAGGGTGAATGATGACGTTTTGAAAAGTAATATAATAATAATAATGGTGTTCATTCATAACTTATGGACTTGTTAACTTTAATGTTCCCTTTATCATACCAGAATGTGATGAATATAAACCATAACATGATGAATATAGGATTATCTCTATATAAAAAATATAAATATGAAACTAATTTACATTAAATCCACTATGGAACCCAAGAATTACAGCACTATTCGAAGTATTCTAAAGAAAGCTCAAGGAGAAAAAATTGCTCCCTATGTTTTTAAAATCAATGATACCCAAACTCTCCAGGAATATTTAGATCAAGAAAAAATCACTTATGAAATTTATCAAGAGGAAAGGAAAATACAAAGTACTAAACGAACCTTAACAACAACTTATGATGAACCAAGAAAGAAACGAAAACTTGAAGAAAGATAAAGAAAAAACCAATTTACGTAAAAACTTTCTCTACTGATCGAGCGACCTATCAACGAAATCGTTTCTTATAGTCTTCGTTGAGCTTTGAATTCGCATTTTGCTTTTTTGACACATTGCAATTAAAAACGTCAAACAACGTAAAAATATTTCAATTTTTTCGTAAGCATAAATTTTATTATTTCATTTATTGAAATGCGCGCTCTTGAAAATATAAATAATGTTAAAAGCACCAGAGTGATTGCATGGGAGGAAAATACTCGGACCCAAAGCCATTTATGAGTATAACCTATTCTTTGGTCACTCTGGTGAGAAATCTAAATATTGTTGCTATTTTTACCATTGCTATTATTAATAATGAAATCACTATCATCTATGTCTTGATTTTCCTCCTCGCCATCTTCGTCGTTTACGGTTTTCTTCTTTTCATCCTCAATCCAACATCGAATTGCCATAATAGATGTCTTCCGCGGAATTGTTCTTCGTAGGTAAAAGTTTCTTATTGTAGAAACAGCAATGCTCTTTCCTTCACCGAGTAACTTATGGATTTCAAGCACCATTTTGTTAAATGAAAATTTTGAATCCGATTTAATTCTTTTTTCGTATAATAGGATTAAATCGTTCCACAAGTTTTCGATTTCTGGTGGATAGTTACGTTGGCCAATTTGTTTGCTAGACTTAGGTTTTTTCTTCGGCTCAACTAAATTGATTAATTCATCAATTTTCTGATTTATGATATGCAGCTGATCTTTGTGAATTTTGAATATCCAAGAATAATTCCGATCAATAATACAATAATAAATTCGCTTGTGAGAGCAAACATTTTAAAATGATAAAGTTGTTGGATGGATTTTTGTAAAGCAGTTCGCGAAGCTTTTTCGTAAACTAGCTCAATTTCTGTCGTTTTTTATAGCGAATCTTTTTGAGTCACGATATTCTAACTAAACGTCATTAATGCGTGAATTTCTGCGCATCAATTATCATTGGTCACATTCTGCATGCAGGGGTGAAAAGGTCTAGAAAGTTCCCAATAATACGTCATTGATTAAGCCACTGATCAGCGTTCGTATATCAGATCACGCAAGCACATCTTGCTACAAACACTTCACTTCAAACATGGATGCCGCGCACATGCAAAGCGAGTTGGATCGAGCTAACGCTAAACTGGACAGGTTGGAGGCGCTGAGGGAGGGTGCAGGGGAAAGGTATGCAGGGGAGAGAGAGAAGCTGGAGCAACAGGAGACTTCCTTAGAGGAAAGGAAGACGTCTCTTATCGCATTGCTTGCAGCAAGCACTCAACCAGGTAACGACTTTGTGACTCGGCGTTGGGAACATAGACCTTCCAATAGAGTAGACATAGTAAAGAGTTTTTTTGATATTGACTGCACTATCTGCTTTTCTCATTGTTGTTAACCGCTTTCTTGCTATCATACTAACATTTAAACGAAGGTCGCGTGCGCCCTCGCTCGCCAGAAGAGCCCGACGACAGTGTCAAGCGCCAAAAGATGCTAGAGGGTAAATTTATACGGGATTCTTGCTTTTTGTAAAATGCCATGATGTGGCCATTATCTGTTCGCTGATTAATTTCACGTTATAGATCAAGAAGAGATTGTTGGAAGTATAACTGACATGCCTGGTCCCTCGTCACTCGCGTATCCAACCCGCTTCCAAAAATATAACTCAGAATATTCCCCTAAAATTCTCAATTTGAGACCTCCAAGTTGCCGTGGTCCGCCAGTTACACTCTTCCACCCCGTTTTTGACCAGTTTCTTATGGATCTATCGGATGTCAATTTGACTATCCCCCCTAATCGATATGACGAGGTCCGGGAATTTTCGCGTGTGGCAGGCGTAATATATTCATGTGAACGTGACCGAGACTCTGCATTGCAACCTTTTTTTGCTTCACTTTTTGATGCATCTGCGACACCTATTGTGACAGATAACCGCGCGCAAATTGACGAGGCACTGCTTATTGATGCGAAGAAGCTTAGAGAGAAGGCTGCTCCAATCATGTGGGAGATCAAGAATGAGATAGGAACGGGAGCTGCTGATCCTTCAATTCAAGGTGCTTGCTCTTACATGAAGTACTGGGCACAGGAACGGGTGCGTCTTTTTTGACTGAACATTTTTTACTTTGACATTGTTTTATCACATTTATTCTTATTTGAACTTTCCACATACAGGTTACAAATATCCGCAAGAGTTGTTGTTGTCCGTCTATTATAATGGCTATTGCAGGACCTTGGATCTGCATCCTTGGTGCAGTGTTTCTTGATAAACCAGTAATTGAACCATTAACTGATTTTATACTCATGATTGACCGTCCCCAAGACAATGGGCGGAGGATAACACAACTCACCACTTTGTTCGAAGCTTTGCATCGTGCATATAAGACTTTGTCTCATTTCTACAAGGACCTGAATATGCCTAATGAATTAGAGATCCAGAAAGCACAAAGAATGTTCCCTTACCACCGACAATACATCTGTGATGGGAAGACTGTTAATTTCACTTATTGCTCTAAGTTGATTAAGGGATGGACAAGATTGATCTATAAAGCACAAACTGATGAAGGCCAAATAGTTATCATTAAGTTTAAAGATCAGTACAATGCTGAAGCTCACCAATTGTTGGCTAATCAGGGACTTTCTCCTCAGCTTTACTATGTTAGTAACAATGCTTCCAATAGGTGGCAGATGATTGTAATGGACATTATTGATCACATTAATATAAATGCTATTATTGAGCATAACCAGCGTTTGCATGTTTTCTCTGAAGTCAAGAGGGCACTTGATATACTCCACAGAGAAGATATGGTCTTTGGAGATTTGCGCCTTCCCAATATACTTGTGTCATCAGTGGGTGAGCAAACTCATGTAAAGTTGGTGGATTTTGATTGGTGTGGAAAGGAGGGCATGGCTAAATATCCATCAATATTGAATCCTGATTGTGCATGGCCAGAGGGAGTAAAACCTTGTGGCCTTCTTTCTAAGTCACATGATTTATATTGGCTAGAAAACCTGTGCAAGTCACTCAATATCTGAAAGAAAAAAAGGTCAGGAAACTGCTCTAGTTTCCAAGGTGATAATCTTAACTTACCCATTGTTGGATGCATTCTCAAAGGTGGTGGCACATTCTTCATTCACTGAGTGAAGACTTTCTTTATGGTTCTGTTGTTAAAGAATATGTCGAAGGACTTTTGGAACAGGGACATAACATTGAATGTTTTATTGAATGATTTTTTGGACAAATAAATAATGTATTAGTATATGGAATGCTATGTAGTTTGCAAGTATCTTTGTGTATTGTGGTTAAAGTGTAGTGAATAGACATCTTTTGACATTGAATTGTCATATACATGTTCTGGCCCGTAGCAAAATCCAGCCTGATTCAAAATCGGGCTTAGCCCGTTGCACAATTAACTACAGGCTGGCCCAAATCACAAGTGATTTTCTGCTAACAATTGTACACTTAGGGTGGGGTAGACGGAGTAGTATGTAATAGAGTAGTGTGTTTTCGTTTATCTACATTTTTTCATCCATTTTTTGTTTATTTATCCTAGGGGAAGTTGGTAGATTTGAAACGAAATTGGAGGAACTCAAAAGCACTGTATTGTCAAAATTGGATGGTAAGCTGACTTAATGAATGCTTCCATTGTTATTACTGTATCCTCTTGTGAATAAGCACCTCCTGATTACCATTATTAGCAAAATGACTCTCCCCCCACAAACAGTTTATTACATAATAAACACATTATTATAAAATTTTTATTAAAAGTCTTCATTATCGCGATTACTTTAGATAACCTCCTAAAGTTTATTATTTACATGATGGTTGCTGATCATTTTCATATGATCGAAGGGGTGCTTATTCACAAGAGGATATGGTATCTATTCACAATCTCTCATTCTTTTCTGCCTTTAGACTTGCGAGAGGATAAAAAGAGTACAATCTCAATATCGAGAGTTACCCAAAACCAGTTCAAAGAATTACTCAATTCACTTGGTCTTGTTAGAAGAACGATCACTTTCTCCCTAGCTCCGACTTCGAAGAATATTAAATCTTTCTGTTGGAAACCATCCAAAGAAGATGTGCAGTCAGAAGCATACATGAAATGGCTCAACAAAAACATCAGCCTTCCCCCGGGTGTCCAGATTGTCAAAACCTCATCCATGCCCTACCTTCTCTCTACTACAAATGCGAGTTTACATTACAACATTAATGGGACATTAGATGTAGCTATTGTCGATGAGAAAAACATTAAATCACGAAACATCGCCAGTGGTATGTGACTTGGTATAGAACTCAAAAAAGCAGTATGTGACAATAGCATCCACCAAACTATTCTAGAATTGATAGCAGCAAATATTTATTCAGAGTATCCACTGGTAATATTACTCACAGACCTGGACCAAACTTGGCAATTTTTCTGGCTTAGAATTGGTGTGATTGTAGACTGCACATTTGAGCTTTCAAAGGCTATTACATTAATTGAGTCAGTCATATCAGAAGCTGGAACTAATATCTCTGCCAGTGCTTCTACACAAGATGCTTCTTATAGAGCAAGATGTAACTTTCAGAAGGCAATATCATGTGTAAATGAGGATAATGAAATGCCATCAGGGAGTAAGAGTGCTGAAGGGCTCGAACAGATAATGAAACAACCAAAGATAGATCCTGCAGATCTGCTTCCGGAGGATGACATTGCATCCATGCATGATGTATTTGATGTAATGAACGAAGATGAGATACGCAACTGGAAGTTAAGGCGAGTTCTGGATTTTGCAATGCACACCCCTGCCCTCCAATCTTGTCAATCGGATGAAAGTTGGAAGTCTTTGTACTCATAATCAGCAGTATCTGCACATGGTCACGTGTATCGTTCTCTTTCATATCATAGAAAGCAAAAGTGAATGGAACACAGAACAATGCAATGCAAAGGAAAAATTGGACTCTTTATCTCTTTTTTATGTTTCTTTTATATAGTTTTTGTTCTTTGCTTTCTTGAACACTACAAGCAGTAATAGTCTGACAGACAAACTTTATCAAGGATTTAAAACTAAATAGGAAGTTATGATAATGCCTGTGAAAGTTAAGCGTGAGAAAAAGTTTGGTAAAAGAGATGTGTACGAGTCTCTAGAGTTTGTCATACATTTTATCTTTCCCGATTATCGCTGAGTATTAAATAAAAAGTTTAAAATCAATATATAGGATTACCCGTATATGATAAATTATAATTATAATGATTCGACTGAATATGAAAAAGCAACGCGTTTCTTGGAGACAGGTTGCAATTGTGGTTGCTCGAAAACGATTCCAAGAGAAAAATTTGCTGAATTACGTGAAGCGTTTCAAGCTCTCTCTGGATCCGAACAAGATATATTTTTAATGGCTCAGTTGAAAGCAATGAATGGCGAAGAAATAACTGCCAGCCGACGTCTTAAAAAGAAAACGCGTATTAATAAGCGAACTTTTTATTATTGAGATCGCAATACGCCGCTTTGTCAAAAAACGTCAGAAATCACCTAGCGGCGAATGGGATAATACCACGTGTTTATGGTAACGTAAAACGAATACCGCGATGGAAAACCAAAATAACCATTGATATAACCGTTGCTACCGCCGTAAAGAATTTTCTCGAAAACTATGCTGAAATTCATGG